TTGAACTCCTGGGCTCAAGGGATCCTCCCACCTTGGCGGAGCGCAGTGGCATGATCAGTTCAAGCAATTTGCTCAAGCAATCCCCCCAGCCTCGTCCTCCTGAGTAGCTGGGACTACAGGCACACCCCACCATGTCCAGCTATATTTTTAAATTTTTTACTGGGGGCAGAGGGTCTTACTATATTGCCTAGGTTGGTCTTGAACTCCTGGGCTCAAGGGATCCTCCCACCTTGGCCTCCATAGCACTGGGATTACAGGTATGAGCCACTGCACCCAGCCTGTATGGGCAATTTGTTATCATTTTATATAATGTTTTTCTAGATTTGGTTGAAATAATAATATAAACAGTATATGTTATATACATTATGAGTTAAAGAGTCCTTTTTGAAGATTGACCTCATGATATAAACCTCAACAGAAATACTTTGAGAAATGATACTCCCAAGTTTTAAACAGCTTCCTCAGACAGAAAGGCATATAGCACTACGTTTAAAAGCAGAGGCTTAGAAGTCAGACACAGCTGTTTGCAGCCATTTAGTAGACTGGAGACTCTGCTCAAGTCCCAAAACTTTTTTAGCTTTCATTTCTAAACTTACATCGTGCTGTTAATGATGGAGCTTACTCCCTATCCAGTAGTGAGGTTTGTCAGAGATGACACCCTTGGCTTAACACGCAACCTGACACATTCTAGTGCTCAAAGGGTGTTAGCTATCCTTTCTTTATCAGTTATCCACTTGCAGATTTTCCTTCCTTTGTAATATGGGAACTACATGCATCATTACAGGTGGAGAGCTGCTTGATAGCTTTTATCAAGTTAGAAACGGTAATCTCTCATCTCTCTTTCTTTTATACTCAAGCTAGATCTCTGACAATATCTTGCAAGCAGGGGAAAGAGGAGGAGGAGAAACCCATGCCAATGAAGGACGGGCAATCCAGGCCTGTTTCAGATCCTCCTGGGCTTTCAGAGTTCCTTTCTTATATATTTTGAACATTTTGAGATTTCTTAGTTAAAATAACTGATACTCCAAATTCTGTTCTTGGCCAACTTGTCCTCTAAATCTGTTACTCACTATTTTGGATAATGCGTTGCCGGCTCAATTTTCTTTTTGTTCAGATCGTTAATAATATATTCATATTAGTATAGGTATGTAGATAAATACCGTTTATATTTTCAGGTTTCATTAAATCAGCTACATGTTGCCTGCCCACCTTGTGGAAGGCTTCATGCTAAGTGCTGAGGTTGCAAAGAGGAACAAGATAGAAACAGCACAAGTCTTCATTGAATGAGAAAGTCAAGTAATCACAGCTAAAATAAGATTTACACATTTTGAAAAATGCCACGATGGAAACAAATGTGGGTGCTATGAAAGAGTGGATATGGGGAGAAAGATACGAGATAGAGTGGTTCG